TGAAAAACTCCTCCACAGCTTCACAAAGACTTTGGCCCACAATGTTCCATTTACTCTTGAAGAAGGCTGCAGTAAAACCATCAGGACCAGGTGCTTTTTCATTCCCAATACTAAAAAGGGCTTCTTTGACCTCTGCCATGGATACCCTCCTGATCAACAAGTGTCCCTGCTCTGGAGAAACCCTAGTCCCTTCTTGGAAGACCTCTCTCCTGATTGGTGCAACCTCGGTTATGGTGCCAAAAAGGTTGTTGTAGTACCCAATGAACTGGTCTGAAATCTCATCCATAGAAGTAGTCACCCCTCCCTGTTCAGTGGTGATGAAAGGAATGGAGTTGAGAGCATGTTGTTTCCTCATCATAGCATGAAAGTACTTAGTGCATTTATCCCCCTCAATGATAAGATCACTTTTAACCTTCTGCTGATAAAAGGATCTCTCTGCATCAATCAAAAAGCTTGCTTTTTTCCTAAGCATCTCACTCCTAGCCAGGAGAATATCATCATTAGGATTTTGAAGTAGTTGCTTCATGACATGGCTATATTCCTTTCTAGCTTCTGAAGCCCTTTGTGAAATGTGACCAAATTCCAGCTTGTTAAGTTGTCTCAGGGGTTGTTTGAGCAGCTTAAGCTTCTTGCAGAGTCTGTATTGTCTGGTTCCTTCCACTCTAGTGCTCCAAATACTTCCAAGGATATTGTCAAAGGACTGATGGTTTAGCCACATATTAAAAAACTTGAAAGGTTTGGTCCCCTTTATGACTTTCTGGAACAGGTCCAAAAGAACAGGACAGTGGTCAGATTCCACCACCATATCACTGAACTCAGCACAACACTCCCAGTTGATAGTTTCCCATTCATGGTTAATTAGAACTCTGTCCAGTTTGGCCCATTTCTTCCCTTTGTTCCAAGTGAACTTCAGCCCTGTTGCTCTGGCATCAATGAGGTCATTATTGACTTTAAATTGCATTAGATCCATCATGGAATAGGCAGTGGGAGTATGGTAGTTGAGTCTCTCTTCAGAGCTAGCCACACAGTTAAAATCTCCCATAATGGCCCAGGGACTGTCTCCAGAGTGCTTTGACAAATTATCCCAAAGATTTCTCCTGGTGGACACATTATACAAAGCATACACAAAAGAAATAGCAAAAGACTTGTGTGTAATTAGGCATTGAACATCACAATGTATAAACTGATCAGTAATATCCTTCACATTACATCTAACAAAATTAGGATTCCAGAAAATGGCCATTCTCCCCCCTTCAATTATATCAAAATTCTGAGTAAAGGTCCAGTGAGGGAGTTTGTTTTTAGCAAAAAGTTGTAATTTGGCCAAAGTCATCTTGGTTTCAAGAATACAGCAAAAATAAACCCCAAGATCATGCATATATTTACACAAAAAATGTTGTTTAGAGGCTCCATTAAGGCCTCTAATATTCCAACAAAGTACCTTCATCTACGGTTGGAGCCAGGGCCCCTCCCTCTACCTCTGTTGCCACCCCCTCTGTTGTTGCCATGGTATTGGTTTCCTCCAGTTCTTCCACTGCTTCTAGGCTGGGCAGTGGCCTTGTCCTTTCCCTCCTTGTCTGGTGGTTCCTTGAGAAGGGTTTCTTTGATGGGGACAGAGGTAAGTTTACCAGACCCTGTTCCCATAAGAGTGTCACCATCATTAGGATCCTTAACAACAAAAGAGGGTGTAGGATCATCAACATTAACTTTGTCTACAGGAACTTCTTCATCCAAATATTTCTTTCCATTGTCCTCATTAGCTACCACCTTGTCCTTAGAATTAGGAACAGTAGGGGCTGGTTCCTTGAAAGCTTCCTTAGAGTGGGGAGTTTTGCTTGT